TATATCATTCTATTGATTTGTAAAAAGTTCCCGGTCTGCCTGGCTGTAATGAGATTTTTGAACTTTGCGTGGCGATCAATGAGAGGAATATTATTGGCCTGGAGAATTGATATACCTGCTCTCAGTGGCTTGTTCTGCTCCTAGGCTGCCCCGGCCCCCCAGGTGTACGATTCCAGCAGACACTTAACCTTTTTTACAGTGTCATCAGGCTAAAAGGAATCTAATAGTGACACAGGACTTGTGCTCAGCACTCTGCCACTATTGCTTTCCTGTCACAAATAATTTATAGCCTTCTATTTCCATCCCTGAGCCTGCACCCCAGCCCTGCTTCCCTCTTTCCCCCCAGCTCCCAGGAATCAATAAACTCGCATGGCCTCAGTGGGACTTCAGGGTGCAAGGAGACAGACAGACAGATAGACAAAGAGAGGGGAGATGGAGAGAGAGAGGGAGACCAAGATGGGGAAGCAGCATGAAGGAAGGACTGAAGGAAACAGGAAGAAAAGGGAGAGGGACTGGGTGAGAGCTGATGCCTTCTGAGCAGGTGGAGCATGCCTGCCTGTCTTTTCTCTGAGTTGAACAGAGTGTGGGAAGAAACTCCGCCAGCATCTTGCTCCTAGCTCAGGGCCCCTTAGACAGGTTCTGTCCAAGTGGGAGGAGCTTGAGGCTTTCTGAGAGTTCAACCAAAAAGGGAGTGACCTCACTACCTGCCTGGTCATCCCTCGGCTACAGCTCTGCCACAAAACCCCGGCAGCAATCTGGTTCTCTGTGGAGCCTTCCCAGGGCCCTCAGGCAGGGCTTGATCCGGCCCCCAGTCTGTCTCCCTGAGTCTTGCTGATGCCACCTCTTTCTGGGTCACATCGTAACCCCTGCTGCTGCTGTTCCCTGTCTTCTCAGGGTCTCCATAGCATTCCCATTGACTAGGCTGGGGGCTAGAGGGAGCTATACCTGTACCTAGCCCAGGGTCCTAAACTAAAAGCAGCCAGACCTAGGGGTCACCCATGGGAGTAATACAACTGGGTGTTAGGATTACTGTAGCCAGCTTGTGTTGAGCCAGCCAGCCAGCCAGCAAGCTCAGCCATAGCATGTCCCATTTACTTCTGACTATAGACCAGGATAGAGTAGGGTGAGCTTATCTTACATTCGATGGAAGAACCTACCAGGGGTTTTCCAATAAGTAATGGGGCTGGGATTCTGACTTGGGTAGATTGAGCCTAGATCCCAAATCCATATTTCCTCTGCCTCACTTGTGAGTGTGGGAGTCTTCGAGTGTCTGAAAGTCCTTGTGCCTCTCTCCTAAGATGGTGGGGGAGCCAGCATCCTGTGAAGAAGGACATAGGAGAAGGGGGAGTGGGGAGCCTTGCAGGGCAGTGTGTCCGTGGGGATGGGGGCTGATACTTCACAGATGCTTGCGGAGTTGCACCCATCAGAGTCCCACCCTGCGAGGTTCTGTGTCTGGCAACTTGACTTCTAGGCTAAACCTGCTTGGGCCCTGGAGGATAGAGAAGTGCCTGGCTAGCTTGTGGGGCCCCAGAGGAAGAGGAGCACAGAGGAAGGAGTGCCAGGCTGTCACCCTGAACAACTGCTTTGTGTTATCCTTAGGCCTCCAGAGTTATTCCCTTGAATTTTCAGGGTGCATGGGGTGCAAGAGGGCACTGGATGACATCAGGTTTCCACATTCTCATTTTATAAATTCCCCCTGGTTGGGTCTGGGGACTGGCAAGTGCTCACTGCCCAGGTTGTGGACAGCCACCTGGAGCTGGCAGCAGGTGTCCTGCCCAGCTGTTCTGCCCTGCACCACCACGTGCTGCCAGGATATAGTGATTTCCCATCACCACATGTACCAGTGCCCCAGGGGTCAGAGGCTTCAGTAACTAAGACAGGAGCTTCTTGTCTTAGTTCCTGGATCTTCTGGTTATCTGTCTCACCCAGCCCCAGCCTTGGGGCTGTCTGAGTCCCCGGCCTAGCAGCCCCCGAGCCAGAGCCACTCCAGGCCCAGTGAAGCTTCTGCTGTAGTGAATTAGCAGCAGCTGTTCTGAATCTCTCAGTAGCCTTCCACACTTTTCTTGTAGATGAGTCTACACTGTCCTCAGCTATTGTCCTGTCTGTGTCATGTAACTGTGCCCCAAATCCACCTCCCAGCTTGTGGGAGATAACCTTATCTTCCACTTTATGGATAAGTGAAGACTCCTTCTGGAAGTTGTTGGCCACCTGAAATCAGGCCATCTTGGCTGATCCCTCTGCCCTCTGCCTGGCACTCATTACTAGGAAAACAAGACCCTCTCTCACTTCTCTCTTTCTTCCTCTTCAACTTGCCAACTTCCCAGATTTTTTCTACCCTGCAAGTTGTCTGCTGTGCTGCCAGTCCATCCCCTGCCTTCTACAAGGTCTCTCCTTTGCTCTCCTACAGACTGGTGAAAGCAGCTTTTACTGCCGCTCTCCCTTCCCTGCTCTCCAGCTAACCTCATTCTGTCTGGTTCCTGCTCCAGTTGCTTTGCTGAGACTGTTCTCCCCAAGGTCACTAATGACCACCCAATTCTTCTAATCTCTTGTATTCCCACTTCTCTTCAGTCTTTGTGTTGCTGTGAGCACCATGGTTGTTATGTTCTTCTCTGCTGACTCAGGTGTAAAAGCCTGATGGAGGTTCTGCCTGCATCCACATCTTCCAAAACTCTTTCTCTTGACTTTCTCACATCCTCCTAAATCTTTCTCGGGTTAGCTTATGTCTGGGCATGTTCCCTTGGAGACTGCCCTTGCAACTTCCATAGCTTTACATCCAGGACCCACAGTACCAGCATCCTCCAAACCAGTCACTCCCTGCATCCCTACTCTTTGTTCTTTCTAAAGAGTCATTTATTTGAAAGGCAGATTTACACAAACACACACAGGCGAATCTCATACCTGCTGGTTCATTTCACAAATGGCCACAATGACTAGAGCAAAGGCTAGGCTGAAGCCAGGAGCCAGGAACGTCATCTGAGTCTCCCAAATGGGTGCAGGAACCCAAGCATTTGAGTCATCTTCCATTGCTTTCCCTAGCCATTAGCAGGGAGCTGGATCAGAAGGGGAACAGCCAGGACTCAAACTGGCATTCACCTGGGATGCTGGCACTGCAGGCAGTGGCCCCTGCATCTGTGTTCTTGACAGTGGCCCGAATCACCAGACTTCCTGTCCCCCAGAACTGGGGTTTTAGAACCATGGTGGAGTCCAGTTCCTGGCCATTCTTCCTCCACGGTCTTACATATTCTGCCTTTTCTTTCCTGAGCTCCCACCTCCTGAGAGCCACTTGTCCGTGTGTCTGCTGAGACCTTGGCAGCCTGGTTCCTACACTCTGAGGGGAGGAAGACAAAGTCGCAGAAAGCATAGGCTGAGGCCTGAATCCCAACTCTGCCCTCACTGGCTGTGTGCTCCCTAGTGAGCCACTTTGGTTTCCAATCTGCAAAATGAGGCTGATAGTATCTAACTGAGGAGGTTATTGTGAGAATTAACAGAGTGTATGTAAGTCATATAAACTGTATATAATATCAGTATTTAATAAATGCTCAATAAGTGGAAAATAGCCATGATCATGATCACATCCGTGTTTTCAGCCTTATTTCCTCCTCATGCCATCTGCAGCCCACTGTTCCTGGCTGACTGGTCCAGGCATTAACCCCTGAGCGCCCTGTGCACTCGGCTGCCTCGTCTTGTTTCCACTTCCTTCAGCATCTGGTTATAGAACTCCCTCCCCTTTGTTCATTTCCAAATTATATTATTATTACTATTGTTTTAACTGAGAAAAAAAGACTAGAAGATTCGGTGGTGATCCAACTCCTTTCTTATTTGGCTGAAGAAATTGAGGCCTAGAGAAGTTGCGAGACAAGCCCAAGGCTGGCTGGACTTCATAGTGCCATTCCTACCAGTTTGGCCCTTGATGCTCTAATGATCTCCACCAAGCTTCACCTGTTCTTCACCATTCCCCTACCAGCAAAGGGGCGTGGCTCCGCTTCTGCATCTCTGGGTACCACCTGCCTGCTGCCCGCAGATTGCTTAGCTTTCTGTGGGTGCGAGTCTTCCCTCCCACTGTGAGCTGGGGGCTGGCCAGTGCTTGCGAAAAGCTGGCCAGAGCCTAATTGCTCAGGCTGGTGACTCTGCTGCCTGGCCAAAGTGACCGAGGCTCTTGTGCCTCTCCGTGGGGAGGGCACAGTGCTTCTTAGGGCCCTTCATTTGAATAGAGAGGAGGTAGGAGTGGGGAGTTTGCCTCCATCCTGGATCTGGGATGGTTTTTTGTCTCTGACCCTGGCTCACTGAAAGGTAAGCCTCTCCCACCTTTGATTTGACCCACTACCACTTTCAGGTGCAAGGGGAGGTGAGCCCTGTGTTCCAACCAAGTTACTAAAGAACCTGAGATCCAATCTCAGGATAGGAGGCCCTCGGGCCCCCGGCTGGGGACAAGGTACTGACTTGTCTGAGAGCAGTGAGTGAGCTTAGAAAGAGGCTGTTCAACGTTGACATCTGCAAAGAGACTGTGTGCTGCGCTGGAATCCTGGGGACTGAAGGGTTCCTGGTTACCCTCTATCCTCGGTAGCTGAGGATGTGGAGAAGGCCCATTCCCTCCGCCAACTCGGGAGGCCTGTGTTGCAGCGCCTTAGAAACGCAAGCTCCAAAATGACCTCCAAACCCAGGAGGTCCTGGACCAGATGGAGACAGATGTGTGGAGGAGGGAAAGTGGGACAGGAAGATATCTTCAAAACAGAAGGATGCTATGGCCCTTCAATCTGCTGTCCCCATCCTCCTTCCAGGAACTAAGCTGCACGTTGGCTGACTCACAGGGCAGGGCAGAAGGCAACAGTGCCTCCTCCCAGAGCTACAATAGACTGGGGCTGTGTGATGCCTGTGGCAGGAATTGCAGGCAGATGTGCAGGCAGCAGAGGGGAGAGATGAAAGTGGAGGAGCTTGGTCAGGCTGGGCTGAGCAGGGGCAGGAGTGGCCTGTGTGGCTGACACCCTTTGATGCTGTTGCAGGATCATCCGGACCAAAGTTCAGCAGCCTTTCCACCCAACACCAGACGGGGCTGGGACAGGAGTGACTGCCCCTGGCCACACCATCGGTAAGACGGCTCGGGGTGGGCAGGATGGGCCCCACATATGGAAGCCAGTGAGTACTGGCAACTGCCCACCTGTTTGGGGTCTGAGGCCTGGCCAGTTCCCTCCCAGCCCTGCTCTCCCTGAGTTCTGAAGGACTCAAGGATCCCTGAGCAAGACTCATTCTCTGGGATTGTTCTCTGCCTTCCACTGGGGCCACCTGCCAGGGTCAGTGTATCGTGTTTCTCGTGGCTCAGTCTCCCTGAATCAGTTGTTTCCTTTAATGCTTCTCATCACGTCTCTATCCTCTCCCCGCTCACCCCCTTATTTTGTGTTCAATTGATTCTTTCCGCCACCTGTCCCTCTTTGTTCCCTCTCTGCCATCTTCATCTTTTCTTTTTTTTTTTTCACTTTTGAAATCATCCTTCTCTCTTCCCTCCCTCTGCCTTTCCCCTGCTCTACTTGGCTTTCCTTGAGGTGCCTTGGATGAGTTCCTCCATCTTTTACCCTTTCTTCCCTAGCCTGCTCTCTCAGCCTGTCTCTCCTGTTCCTCCACTCTACCTTCTTCTTTCTCTTTCTACCTTATTTCTTGATCCATGTTCAAGGTCTTTCATGACACAATTCATGCCTACCTGAACACCTGCCAATATCCCCCACTCCTACCTCCCAACACAGACTGTCTTCTCTGTGGTCCTTTGGTCCTGATGCTGCTGTAGCCATAGTTGAGGCCTGGGGTATGAGGGGCTAAGTTTTTCCTGATGTACCCTCTTGGCCACTGTCCCCATCTCTCTTGATTAACAAGGGATTGAAACAGTTGGCCTTAACCCATCTGAGGTTGGCAAGAGCAGTTGTTTCCCAAGGCTGCATTAGCAGGGAAGGCTAGGTCAGGTCACACCCGTCTGTGCTTATCAGTCTGTGCCCTGAGGGGGGACTTGGGAATGTCTCAAGTGATCTCAAGACCAAGAACAACCAGGAGAAAGAACTGCACACTCCCAGGAGTGTGGGGACCAGCCTGGGTCTCCCAGAAAACATGGAAAGATCTCAAAGAGCCACAAAGTCTAAGACAGAGTTGGTGAAGTTCCATCTTGGGGGACTGAGCTGAGGTTGGGCTGGGGTAGCTGGGGTGGATTGGCTGAGCCTTGCAAAGGAGCATGCTAGGTGTTTTCTATCCTGATTCAGCCTTGGGACTTCCTGGCCTACAACTCCATCCATCTGCGAAAAAGGGAGTTCAAGGGCCCCAACAAGAGCCATAGGCCTGCAGAATAGGCCAGGGGCTGAGTGGTCACCACCCATCCCAGGCTGGACTGAAGGTCAGGAGAGTGTGCCCCCAAGCTCCAGAGAGAGAAGGGGCAAGTGGGCTTCTCAGTCCGCCTGTGTCCACTGCTTTTCACAACCCCCAGTTCTGGGGCTTTGACCACCGATCACAAGCAGCACTCTAATAGCCTGTCCTCCTTGCTCTTGTCCAGTTCCCAGCACGGCCTCCCCTCCCGTTTCCAGCGCCTCCAATGACCCAGTGGGCTCCTACTCTATCAATGGGATCCTGGGGATTCCTCGCTCCAATGGCGAGAAGAGGAAACGTGATGAAGGTAGGGAGGTGGGAAGACGTTTGGCTTCCACTTCGCGGGCTTTGTCTTTGGACTTGGGGCTCCGGTTTCGGCCTGGCCTTGCAGCTGCTCTGCTGTGAGATCAATTTTAGCAGCAAAGACCAGGTCCCTCCATTGCCCTGCTGGCTTGTGGAGAGAGGGAGGGAGGCTGTTTGGTCTGGCTCCCAGCTTTGCCATATGCTCAGCAGCCCTGCCTGCCTCACTTTCCACAGACCCACCTCGGCCACCCTTGAGGATGCCAGGGCAACAGGCATGAGTCATTTCCTTGGGAAGGCTTTGGAGACTGAGAGACAGTTGGTTGCTAACCTGGGGGTGAAAGGCTGATTCCAAACTATTGGGAGGTGGGACAATGATGTCACCTATAGCTGGACCGTCTGGTTCTCCCCGGATGAAGCTAGAAGTAGGTCTGCTCCCTGCCCTGGTCCCCCCACTAGCTCCCCTGGGGATGTAGTAACCTCCTGGCATTAAAGGGGGTGGGGAGTGAAGGATTATAAAGGTGTCTCCCATGAAGCAGACAGAATCCTGGAAAGCAGACCATAAAGAGGCGGCACCTCCCCCCTTAGCTTGGGACAATCCCAATTTATGCCTGTTGTCCCTGGTTCTTGGCCAGTCAGCAGCTCCCTCTCCTGTTTGGACAATCAGTCACGTGGTCATCTCCAGCAGTGCCAAGCCCTTGATGGGGAGCGCTCTGGGAGTAATGTGCACAAGAGAGGGCCAGAGCAGAGTCTGCGCAGGCCCGGAGGAGGAAAGAAGGTGCTCTGGCCTCTGGCGGCAGGGATGGAACACAGGGGATGCCTGGGCCTGGCAGTACAGGCCTGACCTGGAGCTGGCCTCTTTCCAGAAGCCCTAATGGCCTCGTTTCACAGGGAAACAGCTTGTCTGGCTCTAGTTCTCCTTTCCAAAATCTCCAAATCCATTTGGCTTCCACGGCCTTTGCCACTCACTAAATTTCATTGTGGTTGTTTTGGCGGCAGCCCCTAATGGGTAGGGCGTGGGGAATAGGGGTAGGGCTGCATGAAGGACCCCTAGTTCCCATTCTCCTTGGGAGCTTCCCATCCCTGCGCCTGTGCCAGGCTATTCCTGGGCACCTTGAGTGCTTTGGGAGAACCTGTCCCAAGTCCTATGAGTTTCTGCTGTGGCTGCATCCCCTGTGTGTCTCACTACGAGGGATGACTGGGGCTAGGAAGGCCACAGAAATGTCTCCACTCTGTCCCCTGTTGACTCAGGGTTGGGGCTAGGTTTTCTCTGAGCTGCCTGGGCTCCTGTGAGCCATGAAGATGGGCACTAGGGGCAGGGACGCCCTGGCCTGAGGCCGTAGTCATCCAGGGCCAGGCCCAGTATGCCCAGAACATAGTGCTCTCAGCTCTAAGCACTTGGTCACTTTCATTGTTTCCAAGTCATTGAAATCAGTGAACCCTTCCTGTGCATCAAAAAAAAGAAAAGCTTGTGCTCCGGTCCTGGAGCAGAACAAGATGTGATTCTGGTCCTGAAGTGGCTTATACTCTAGCGAGGCATGTCGAACACCCAAGCCCAGGGGGTGGAAAGGCCCATCAGATATCTGTGGGGACACAGGGTGGTGGGGTGGAGGGGGGAGCTGCAGGGAAGAGCTGCTCTAAGCAGAGGGAGAGGGCATGAAGTCCCTTCTGATCTGATAGAAAGCCCCGTGACCAGGGAATGCAGGGGGAGCCTGGGCAGGAAGGAGAGGCCTGAGGGGAGCGATAGGAGGTGGGGCTGGGTAGATGATTTGAGGTTCTGGGACAGCAGGCCAGGAATGGACAGGAGCATGAGCTGGAGGCTGGAGAAGCCACTGAGGGTGTGTGGGCAGGAAGAGATGGGAGCGGGGGTGGTGCTGACTTTGGGAAGCTTGGCCTCCAGCACGGTGGCAGTGAGGGTGACACAGTGCAGGAAGTGTGAAGTCTTGAAGTTTCCTCTTCTTACCTGCTGGGCCTGACCCTGGGGCAGGAAAGACCAGAGGACCCTTTTGGAGATAGGAGTTCTTTTACCTTGATGGTCCCCAACCCCCAAGGCCCCACCGAGCTGTCCTTTCCCTCGAGGGAAGTCCCTGCCCTGCCTCCCCCCACTTGTTCCTTATGTCCCAGGTGGGAAAGGAGAGAAGAGGCGAGGAGAAAGCAAAGGTAGAGCTGTCTCAGCTGCCCCTCCCCCTTCCCTCTTCCGGAAGCCTCAGACGCAGCCAGGCCCAGTTTGCATTAGGGAGCAGCTCGGATGATTAAGAATAAGGCAGATAATTATGTGTCAAGATGATGTAGCCCAACTCTGCAGTCAGGCCAAGGTAGCAAGGCAGCTGGCAGGCTGGTCGGTCACAGGAGGCGTTCTCCACCCGGTCGGCATGAACACGCAGGTGTGTCCTTCAGCAGCTGGGCTCAGGCTGCAGGCCCATGAGAACACTGACTTAAGAGACGATGGGGTGTGTCGGGGGGTGGGGCGAGGTGTCTGTCCAGGGGTGGGATTGGACTCTCATCTCCTTCCAGTGGACCTGGTTGACCCTGCCAGGCTTCCCTCTTTGGCCCCCAGCAAAGTGGAAGCTCCCCAGCAGTGTCACTCCTGTCCCCCAGCCTGCCCCAAAGACAAGGTGGGAGCCTTCTCCGAATCCCAAGTTCCGCTCCTGCCTCCGGGTACAGCATGACCTATTCCTCAGCTCTAACGATGTCACGGTGGTGGGCGTCTGCGAGGACAGTCGCTGCAGAGTGTGCTGGCATTATTGGAGACAATCTCAGCAGTAGTTATGGGTGTTCACAGGGATAATACCCAGAGCATTATTGGCAGTGGCACTCAGAATATGGGCAGCATTATTAGTATCTCCAGCAATCATATCTGCGGGGATATTAGTAAAAGGCCGATCAGCTGTGACTCGGGGAAAAGGCAGCCGTGACCACCAGCCTGCCTCCCTCTTTCCCGTGCCTGTGCTGGCGCGTGGGAGTAGGAAAAAGCTCAGACTTTTCTTTAACAAATGTGCGGCCCCAAAGCCTTGACCCCACTCCCAAGAGTTCAGAAGCTCACAAACTGAAACAAGGAGACAGGCTATGGATAGATGAGGCAGTTCCAACATGAAGCACATGGAAAATAAGTTGTCCATCAGTCTGAAAAGGGACATGTCCCATTCCCTACTCTGCCATCACTCTTGCTTCTTAGTCACAATTTGGGCCAGGTCCCCTGAGTCCTTGGCTTCTTTGCTGGAAGGATGGAGACTTGGTATTGCTGGTCTGCATTCAGTCAGTCCGAGAAAGCAGATGCCTTTGCCTTGACCCCTGGCTTTGAGCTGGGGCGCAGGACATGGCTGCCTACCGGCAGAGCTGTTGGAAGCAGGGAATAGGAATTTAACCTGTCCAAAATCCCAAATGAAGACCTGTAGTGTGATCTGTGAGGGAGATGAGCTGGGATCGTTTCTTGATGTATGGCATTGCAGGAGGCCGTAGTTTTGCATTCCATTAATTAGGTGCACAATCAGTTGTACTGCCGAGTGGTGCCCAGTGGGTGCAGTTGTGCATTCGCCGGCAGGACAGGTTGTCCGGCTGCAAGTGGCTGGGTCCTGACGCTGCTTTTAACAGCTTCCCTCTACTTTGAGTGAAGCTAGAATTGGAAGAAGCAGTTTAATTCCTCATTCCCTCCTAGAAGTCCCCCAAAGCATTGTTCAGGTTAGACCTGGAGCAAACAAGGGGATTAAACTGCAGAAATGAGCCTAGGAGTTCTGGCTTGAGATAAGAGAAGGCTGCAAAGGTTCCTAGCAGGAGGGGAGCCTGCAGCAGCCAGCAGGCAAGCCCCAGAACCCAGGCTGGAGCTACTCAGCATGGCTGTTTGGCTGTGGGCAACTCAAACCACCTCCATCAGCTCTGAGTTCTCCTTTGTAAAGTGGGAGTTGATAACAGCACCTGCTTCCCGGGGATTATGGAGTGGGTGGTATTGGATGGTGGAGGTTGACTGTTAAGCCAGCACCATGTCGGAATATGGGACCTTGTATGGGAAAGGAAGCCTGTTTGGAAGATTTATAATTCAAGGGGAAACAGAGTTGTGGCAGAAAGCCATCTGTTTAGCACAGTCCCCAACCTCAGTGGTGCTCCTGGTAAGCAGAGCAGGTGTGAGATGAAGCAGGGTACACTAACCCCATGGGACCAGGGACATGGAAGAAGCAGTCACTGACCTTGTCCATGTGATCAGGGGAATGTCAGTCCATTTCCACCTTCTCTTGCTCGGCGGTTACCCACCACGTGACCTCTTCCATGCTTCACAGGCCTTTCTGATGTATATAAAGATTCCTTCCTTTACTCACATGGGGGCATCATGCCACATCTGTGAATACCTCTGCTGCTACCTGGAAGTGGATTGGTTTGGGGAATAGGTGCTTGTTGTATGGACACAGTGTATGTGGTTGTGTGTGTGTGTGTGTGTGTGTGTTCTCCTGTGACATCTTGAGGTATAAGGTGATTCAGGATGCCGTGCATTGGGAAGGCATGAAGTTTTCTGGGAAGTGTATGGCTTGCAAAGAGTACCAGCTTGGGACCATGTATGTGTCTACCAGCACCAGAGAAATCTAAGCTGGGCCGGGGGATGCTAAGTGTCCAAGAGTCTCGTGGATAGGTGTAGGTAGAGTTTGACCCAAAGGATTGCCTATATATTACCCCATATTCTGCTGGCAAGTGGATGGGCTTCCCTGAGCCAGCGTATGGGGGTTGGCAGCCTGAGGCTCAGGAAGCAGGGAACCTGCCTGCTCAGGTGGTGCAGGGGGAGTGAGTCAAGGCTTCAGAGCCCTTGGATGAATAACCTATCTACCTGTCTCAGAGTCTGGCCCTTGGTTTTCCACCTGCCTGCCTTCCAGGATCTCTCAGTGTCTGTCTCTTATTTGCTCTAGTCGAGGTATACACTGATCCTGCCCACATTAGAGGAGGTGGAGGTTTGCATCTGGTCTGGACTTTAAGAGGTATGAGGGTCAGAGGGAACATGGTGTGGGGGTCGAGGGAAGCAGCCTGGGGGGAGGTGGTGAGGACACTGGGAGGGTGGGATCCTAATGGCCAGAGAACTGAGAAGGAGGAGGTAGCTCAGACTTCCGCTGGGCACCTAAGAGTCTGTCACTGAGTCTTGGGGCCAGGCCACTGCTTGGGTCCGGGAACCAAATGCCCGGTGGGCCAGAGGGTCGGGCACTCTGTGGATGGGGGAGCACTTTTCCCAGCCCTTGGAAAAACAAAGAACAGATCGGGTAGTAAAACAAAAGCAAAGGAGACCTGGAAGCACCTGACAGCCCTAATTCATCACGGCCCAAGTTTTTTCCTGTGTTCCCATTATATTTGTTTGTAAAAGTGGAAATCAATTTTGAAGGTAATTTTCTGGAAAGAATGGAAGGGAGGTGGGAGGGCCGGATAAGGCAGAGATGGTAAAAGGAAAAATTTAGGCCAGGCACAGCCCAGGGGCAGCTCTTGGCAAGGTGAAAGAAAATTGCATATTCAATCTCCATCCATGAATCTCCCTCACTGCTGCCCGCCTCCTGCTTGAAAACAATGAAGGCTTTTTCCCAACGCTGGGCAGGGCCTCGGTATCAGCCTCACTTTAACTTCAGGGTCATTAATTCCCTGATTATTGAAGGAGAAGAGAGAGTTGCAGCATCGTCAATTCCAGTGGCACCCCCTCCCCATGTGATCAGGCACTGGCTGATGGGGGGTTGGGGGGGAAGGGTGTCACCCAGGGTGAGGTGAGGGGTTACTTCAGAAGGAGGTGGGGAAAGAGGAAATGGGGGAGCCAGCCGGACTAAGGGGAAGGAAGCCAGGAGGAGGGTGGGAGAAGGCAGCCATTACTGCATACCTCTGTTGTGTTGTTATTGCAAATTAAAAGTAGCATGTTCCACTCCACAGCTATCTTTGGGGAGGGAGGGGCGCCGCCAAGGGAGGTGGGGGATCTTATCATTGCTTCTTCAGCAGACCAGCCGTGGTGTCACCGTGTGAGGTGACATTTGAATTTACAATTCCGCTGAGAAAAGCCATTAATTCACAAATTAACATTTCTCCCTCTCCCTCTCTCTTTAACACTCTCTCCCTCTCTCACATGGATGTGCAAGCAATTGAAAAGACAAAGGAAATAGCCTTAAGGAAGAGACTTTACTGCTAGTCTGTCTGTGCGGAGATTGCTCCCCCTGCTTCCAGAGAGATAAACCAATTACCTGAGCAGCTCAGCTCCTGGCCGCCCGCGGTCCCTCCTTTTGTAGGCTGCCTCCATGGCTAGGTTACTCGTGTGCCTGTATCTCATTAATGTCATCCTGGAGTGCCTGGCCACCAAGCCCTCTGCCTGGTTCTCCTAGAGAAGGATACCCCAGGGAGCAGGAGAGGCTGGCCAGGCACAGGACCTTGGTGGAGGCTGGGAGAAGCAAGAAGGTCTGCAGGGGGAGTGCTGCTTGGCCAACTTGCCAGCAACACAGGAAATGCGGATGTGCGCACCTGCCCTGTGTGGAGAAGTGGAGGCTGGTGCCAGAGCCTCCGATGGCCTTGTGATCCACAGGCAGTGTCTAGCAGAGCCAGAGGAACCCAAGCTCTCCTGGCAGGGAAGAGCTTGGGGAAGGTTTGCTGAGTAGGCACTATTTCAGTGGGACCAGGGTCAGTGTGAAGGAATTGAAACAGGAGAGAGCGGTGGGAGATGCTTAGGAAGGCCCAGATAACAGGATGAGGCTGCACCACGTTGGTACACGAAATGATGCTGCACTGACTCTTTCATTAAACGTAGCACTTGGGCACAGTGATGTCTGTTTACCATCCGGCCATCAAGTGCTCCCCCCACCCCACATCCAGTCATCTGATTCCCTCCTTAGAGAACCACAAATAGTCCCTAATCCACAGGGATTCATTCCAAGACCCCCTGTGGATTCTGGAAACCACTAGTAGTAGTCAATCCTATAGGCATACTATGAGGGTTTTTTTTCCTGTACATTCATACCAACAATAGACGTTTAACTCCTTAATTAGGCACAGCAAGAGATTAACAACAATAGCTACTAACCCTGTAGAACAGTTGTAACAATACATTGACTGGAGACCTTTGATCTGATAACTCAGATTGCTACTCAGTGACCAATGGGAGCAACAGGGACACACTGGACAAAGGGATGATTCATATTCTGGCAGGACAGAGTGGGGTGGCGTGCCATTGTGGGATGGCGTGCCATTTCATCATGCCACTCAGAAAGTTATTTTGAAGTTATGAATTGTTTCTTTCTGGAATTTCCATTTAATATTTCCGGGTTGTGGTTGACTGTGGGGGACTGAAACTGCAACAAGTGCATCAGGGGGCACTGATGTGTTCATGAAGGATCAGGGTGGAAGGGCTGCCCCAAGACCATGGGCATGGATGGCAGGGCCTCTGTTTGCTTTGTACTGAACACTGTAAGAACACATCTGTCGATCAAGTGGGGCTGAACCCCTGTAGGTTTTCCCAAGGAGTGGTGCCCTGTGGGCCCCTGCTGGGGTTGTGGCTTCACACGTCCTCTGCTACTTGGCATGCATCTCAGACTGGGTCTCTCCTGAGACAGGTGCTCTGAGACTTGAGGAGCCAAAATTATGTGAAGGTAGCGTCCGTCTGGATATGTACCCATTACTCCATTAACAAAGTATAGCCCAGGTTTGTTTTCTAGTGAACATTGACGAGCCAGATAACATCCACTCCAGGGCAAGCAGGAGCAAAATTCAAAGGCCCAGCATTTGCTGAGAGACACACACACACACATATATACTAAGATTGTATCTTCTAAATAACCAGGAAAATTATTTCACTGTTGATCTGTAAGGGTGGGAGGCATTTTTCTATCTGAATAGAATCACATACTTTAGCCGAACTCCTTGGGTAGTGTGGCCACGGGCCTGGTGAACACTGACTGTGCTATCTGGGGTAGGCATAGGTTCTGTTGATATTGCAGTATTTATCATGAGCTGTGAACACAGACAACTTGTGTTTTTCTTTGGGGAAGTACTGGAGTTTAGATATGACTGTGTAGATGAATTTAAATCTGTGTTTATATAAGTGTCAGCAGCAGTGCAACATGAATCATCTTCATTTCCAAGTATTTCATGTTATTCTGGATAAATACTAACATGTAGTTGTGTTTTGAGATTTGCATAAAAGAATACATTTTTTATAAGTGCCAAAAAATAAGAATAGGTAAATTGAACCCACTCCTGGGAAAAGGTGACTCTGATTTGCAATAGATGGATCCATTGAGGGTCCTTCCAGGCTGCCCCCACTCTTGCCACTTTCAGCCAAGGCGATCAGCTCCTGCTCCCCACTGCCTTGCCAGCCCCCTGGGGTACAGGTGTGAGCACCTGTCTAGTTAGAACACCATCCTGTTATTCCACTTGGCAAGGCACCTTCCAGGCCTGGGGTAGCATCATTCTCCTTCCTCCTCCCCACAAGTGCACCATGTGAGAAATGCGCTGCCTCAGCTCTGCTCTCCTCCCCCATGCAGGCTGTGATGACAGAGGGAGGGGCCAGTTGTGCAGGTGGCTCCCTAGTCCCTGTTGCTCTCCTGGGTGTTTACTCTGCACCTCCAGTGGGGAGCTGGGGAAGGCCAGGCCCCTGGCCTGGGGAACCCCTTGCAAGAACAAGGCTTATGAGAACCAGGTTGGCTGCCTGCAGGAGGGCCAGTGCAGGCATCCTTCAGGGCATCTTTGTAGCCTAGAGTCCAGCAAGGGAAACCTCCCCACTCTGCCTTTTCGGGGCCCCAGGAGCCTCCAGACCCTCCTTGTACTGCCCGCAAGGGATGAAAAGACAAGGAGGGCTGGGGGGAGGGCTGGACCTGGCGCTGGAGCGAGTGGCAGCAGCAGAGCCAGTAATTCAAACCATCCTGACCCTTCGATGAACCCGAACCTGCTGACCTTGACAGCCCAGACAAGAGAGGCCTCACAAACCTCAACCTGCACATGAAGGCCTCGCCTCATCACCCTTTCTTAGAGTCGTGTGGCCCAGCCTCCAGGTGGCTCCTGAAGTCACCACCCCAAGAGATGCCAGCATTCCTTCCTCCCCAAGGCACTGCCAGCCCACCTTTGTGCTCATCTCCCTGGGGAGGCTGGCAGGTGGGTGTCTCTCAGGGAGCTGCCTCACCTTTCTTTTCTGTTCCAGGCTGTACTCTCTTGAGAGGGCTGGCTGCTGCGGCTGTAAAGGCTGGGTGCTCACAGGGGCAGGCGTAAACTGTGATCGAGGCAGAGCAGACAAGAGGAGGGAAGCCAGAGGAAAGCGGCCCCAGGAACCTGCAGTAAAGTAAATGCAGTTGATGAAGTTGATGCTTTTCCTCTGAGGGAGAGTTGGATCCCATCCAATAGCCTCCCAGCGCCTGCCAAATGGCTTCTGAAGCAGAGTTTGAACAGGAGTGAGGGCGAGCCAGTGGCAGAAAGAATTACACACAGACACACACACACAAACACATACACACGCTGGATCACACACATCTCCTCAGGTCCTGGCAGCCTGGGAAGGCTGGGGAAGAGGGATAAGAAAGTGTGTTTAGTAGGAGGCAATTCCAGGAGCACCTTCTTCTCCCATCCCTCTCCATCTTCCAGCCCCGAGGGAGCACCTAGAGCTGCAGCTCAGGGCAATGTAGATGGTCCTAGAACAGTGGATGTGAGACTTAAGCTGTGGTAAGGTCCAGAATGTGGCACCATTAGGTCTCCCAGAAACCAGCTCTTTTTCCGATGCTGGGCATCCATTTTTTTTTTTTTTTCTGGGACCTTGATCCACACCAAGTAGCTTCCTTGTGGCTGCTGGAGCTAGCTTCTGGAATCTCTTAAGGAAACATGATTAGAGCTCTGTGTTTTTCATGGGAATTCCAAAGAAATAAACGGTGAGCTAGGTTAGGGCATGGGAGCACTCAGAGGGGCTCATAAGTGAGTTAGAATCTCCGTCTGTCTAGACTTTGCTTCCTGTATGCAAGCAGGTGACAGTGGGTGTGTA